TATGTGTGTGTGTGTGTGTGTGTGTATATATATATATATATATATATATATATATATATACACACATATTAGAGCACATAGAAAACTTGCCTAAAATTCATCTGATCCCTTCAAAGATCTGCTTTGAGAACAGCTTTTGTATTCCTCTTTAGGCTAAAGAACAGAAGACCGGACTCCCTTAAAGTGACCGAACCACGTAGTGACCACACTAGTGAGTGTCCAAATGGTCAGAATCACAGTAATGTTGAGGTGACCACTGATTCAGACCCTAGTCTGGACTGGTTCCACTCCTTATCCAGCCCGACTTGTACCGGCTCCGTCGTTCACACCTCCCCCGTCATTACTTCCACACAGAACGCCACCACGACACCGGGCACGACTGTGTTGCCTAGCAACAGCCATTCCATACGCCACAAGGGTTCTGTGTGGGAGAAGGATGAGGATTCATCCGTGGTTGAGGCTGTTGTGCAAAGGGGCTCCAAAAAGCTCAGAGCAAAACGGCTGAAAGAGATGAAAGCATCCCTCCTGCTGAACGAGGAACGAGTTTTAGGAGAGACAAGCGACGATTTAGAGATGTTCTCCCACAGTACACCCAAGACAGGGAAGAAATCGACAAAAAGGAAAAACACAGCCATCAGTCCTCCAGACATAGACCAGGAGGCCGATTTCAGAGCCGAGAATGGAGAGGATTTACAGAGCAAACTCACAAACTTCACATTCAAGGCCAGAGAGAGAATGACTCATGCTGATCAGTCGGTTGCGAAAGCAAGTGCCAAAGTGGCGGTGCATGAGGTGGCGAAACCTACTGTACCTCAGAAGCCAGAAAAACGGGCCCAAAGAGGGAATCAATCAAGCTCACGTCCTCCAGCAGAGGGCAGCAGAGCTACTAAGAAACTCCGGCTAGGAAGTCACAATAAAACCAAAGAAGTTTCCTCTGAGGTCTTGAATGATGAGAGCACAGCTCAGAAAGGGACGTCTGAGGACACCGAACATCAACAACAGCTGCTGTCCAGACTGAACAGCCTCTCTCCGGGTGAGAATAATGGCAACACTAATAAACACCCACAATCCCCACAAAGGACAGACCACCCAAAGGTGAAGGTGGCTAGTTCAACTCTGGCCAAACTTTCCAAATTCTCTTTTACGGGCTCATCTGAGGAAAAGACCAGAGATAAAATAATCCCAGCTACACAAATGGCCATAAACGGCAGTACAAGCAAAGTGCCAATGAACCTTCTTTCTGAAGAGCAGGAGAGCACAAGCACACAGACCAGAAAAAATATAACCACAGATGCGAAGACCACCACAATGCAGACGGGCAACATGAGGACAGAACCTTCCGATAGACAGGAAGACTCCGGAGAGAACGCTACAAAGAAGAGGAGATGTTTTGAATTGGGCTCCGCAGGACTCCTCAAAGGTTTTTCACTGTTCAGCTCATCGGTCATAGACGATGAAGATCTAGACGCTGACTGGAACTGATGTAGCAGGAGCCATTTGTTGAGTGTGTTAGCAGTATATGTCATTTTTGTTTATTTTTTTCATTTAAATGCAGTGTGGTGTGTTTTAATGACTGCCAAACAGATTCTGATGTCAGTAAAGAGAGTCTCTATTTGCACTTTTGCTTTCATTTTAGTAAATGTCAATTAAATTTTTGTCTGGTTTTGTTTTCTCAGTAATTAATTTTTTTTATTATGTTTGTTTTTTTAAAAGTTTTTAGCAATTTATCATCAAAAATTGATCATAAAAAAATTGAACTGGATAATTTATGTAGTTTTAATTAATATTTTGTCTTTTGTTTTTAATCTTTAGTTTTTTCACATGGCTATTTTTACTAAATAAAAGGGCAAATTATATTTTTATCATTGTTTTTTTGTTTTAAAATGATAAAGAAATCGCTTATTTTGCTAGATGTACTTAAACTTATGAGCAGAACTGTATATTAAGACCACCTAATTCTACACTTTTATAGCATTTTCTCCCTAAAATCCACTTATACTGGTGGACAAAGTTTTTATGTACCAAAACTTGAAGTTAAATTTTACAAGACATTTTTTCATTCTCCTTCTGACACTTAAAATCGAACATGCCGTTTTTGCTACTGCTCCTTTAAGATTTCTATAATTAAATCACCTCTGTTATAATTGCATTGCCACTGTTTCTGCTGAATACCAAATAGGTTGTAAACAGCTGGGCGGTCATGTTCATTTCCACATGGTTTTGACCTCATGACCATGATGATTTATGAATGACCCTTTTTTTGCAGCTTATTTTTCGTAAATGGTCTGGGTGGAATCGGGAGCCCTAAATTTGCCTTGTTTTGTTTCAGAAAAGCATCATATAAGCAACATATAGCAGAACTGTGCAAGATAATCAGACCAGTTACAGTTAACTTAATAGTGAATATTTCATTGCCATGCAGTGATTTGCTGTTCAACAATAGTTGTATTCAGCCAACAAAAATAAAACCAGGCTAAAGGTGCCTTTCAGCCCATGAAAAGACAAATAACCATCAAAACAGATGCTTTAATGCTTATTGGATGCTGTAGATGTTTTCAAGGTTGAACAATTCATCTCTTGGGGAGCAATGAATGACACCATGGTGAAGAGATGTTGTCTATCGTCATGGTGACGGATTGCATTCCATTGGGAGTTTAGGGATGAAGGTACTGCATTCGGTGATAATAGGATCATACAGGATCTGCTGCCGTCCCCAAGGTCAAAATCATGGATTAAGACCGTTAAGTCAAGTATACATTTTACTTGTTTGTCATTCAAACCTCTTTAACGGCAAGCAATTTCCCCTCCTTTGTGTATTGCTGTTTTATAAGGAAATTAATCTTCTTTTTAGACTCTTTTCTAAGGTTACTGGTGTGTGAGGGAGTGTATGATATCTATTTTTATACACCTAGCTGGTGTTTGTAATAATGCTGTATTTCTTAAAATAAGGACATTCTTTTATTGATGCGTGTGTTAATATGTGACTATAAGCTTCTGTTTTGTCTTGAAGCAGTTATGAGATCATTTCCATTGACTGGATGAGTTGCTAGTGAAGTCTAACCTTCTGTTGGAGAGGGTCAAGGTCTGTACAGTTCCAGTATTCTTCTCAGAGGAGAACTGCGGTAAAGAGAGACTGAAGGTAAGATGAGACGTTAATGGATCCTAAACTTCCTGCAGATGGATCACTGGCCTTATCAATAATGAAGCGTTATTGATTTAATGTCTCTGAATGTGCCACCAAGGATACCCAAACTCACCATTACATCATTCATTTGGCATCTTACAGTGTTTTAGTGGATTGAATTTTGGACTTTGCCATTTTAAAGCTTTTTTGCAACAAATATGAAAGATTTTAGTCTGGCCTGTTTGGTGAGGTCTGATTGGATGGATGGATGGATAGATAGATAGATGGACAGGCAGATAGATAGATGGACCAACGGTCAGATAGATAGATAGATAGATAGATGGACCAACGGACAGACAGATAGATGGACGGACGGACGGATGGATAAACAGCTGATAGATAGACAGATAGATAGATAGATAGACCAACGGACAGGCAGATAGATAGATGGACGGACGGACGGACGGATGGATAAACAGCTGATAGATAGACCAACGGACAGGCAGATAGATAGATGGACGGACGGACGGACGGATGGATAAACAGCTGATAGATAGACCAACGGACAGGCAGATAGATAGATGGACGGACGGACGGACGGATGGATAAACAGCTGATAGATAGACCAACGGACAGGCAGATAGATGGACGGATGGATAAACAGCTGATAGATAGATAGATAGACAAACGGACAGGCAGATGGACGGATTCTCAGAGGAGAACTGCGGTAAAGAGAGACTGAAGGTAAGATGAGACGTTAATGGATCCTAAACTTCCTGCAGATGGATCACTGGCCTTATCAATAATGAAGCGTTATTGATTTAATGTCTCTGAATGTGCCACCAAGGATACCCAAACTCACCATTACATCATTCATTTGGCATCTTACAGTGTTTTAGTGGATTGAATTTTGGACTTTGCCATTTTAAAGCTTTTTTGCAACAAATATGAAAGATTTTAGTCTGGCCTGTTTGGTGAGGTCTGATTGGATGGATGGATGGATAGATAGATAGATGGACAGGCAGATAGATAGATGGACCAACGGTCAGATAGATAGATAGATAGATAGATGGACCAACGGACAGACAGATAGATGGACGGACGGACGGATGGATAAACAGCTGATAGATAGACCAACGGACAGGCAGATAGATGGACGGATGGATAAACAGCTGATAGATAGATAGATAGACCAACGGACAGGCAGATAGATGGACGGACGGACGGACGGATGGATAAACAGAGCTGATAGATAGACCAACGGACAGGCAGATAGATAGATGGACCAACGGACAGGCAGATAGATAGACGGATGGACGGACGGATGGATAGATGGATAAACAGCTGATAGATAGATAGATAGATGGACCAACGGACAGGCAGATAGATAGATGGACGGATGGATAAACAGAGCTGATAGATAGATAGACCAACGGACAGGCAGATAGATAGATAGATAGACGGACGGACGGATAGATAGATAGAGTTACATGCAATTTTACATATTCCTCAACTTTTTTATTTTACATCTATTTTACAGAATTTGTCCTGTGCAAAATTTTAAGTTACATTTGTTTTTCTAAGGTTTTATCTATCATCAGTTATAAAGAAGTTGCTGTTTATATGTAACTTTAACTGATATATTGATAGATATATAGTTTATATAGTTACATGCAAATTAACATTTCTTTTTTTTATTTTACATACAGTGGGTACGGAAAGTATTCAGACCCCCTTAAATTTTTCACTCTTTGTTATATTGCAGCCATTTGCTAAACTCATTTAAGTTAATTTTTTTTCCTCATTAATGTAAAATCATTTAAGTTATTTTTTTTTCCTCATTAATGTACACACAGCACCCCATATTGACAGAAAAACACAGAATTGTTGACATCTTTGCAGATTTATTAAAAAAGAAAAACTGAAAAATGCTCAGTATTTAGTAGAAGCACCCTTTTGATCTAATACAGCCATGAGTCTTATTGGGAAAGATGCAACAAGTTTTTCACACATGGATTTGGGGATCCTCTGCCATTCCTCCTTGCAGATCCTCTCCAGTTCTGTCAGGTTGGACGGTAAACGTTGGTGGACAGCCATTTTTAGGTCTCTCCAGAGATGCTCAACTGGGTTTAAGTCAGGGCTCTGGCTGAGCCATTCAAGAACAGTCACAGAGTTGTTGTGAAGCCACTCCTTCGTTATTTTAGCTGTGTGCTTAGGGTCATTGTCTTGTTGAAAGGTAAACCTTCGGCCCAGTCTGAGGTCCTGAGCACTCTGGAGAAGGTTTTCATCCAGGATATCCCTGTACTTGGCCGCATTCATCTTTCCCTCGATTGCAACCAGTCGTCCTGTCCCTGCAGCTGAAAAACACCCCCACAGCATGATGCTGCCACCACCATGCTTCACTGTTGGGACAGGTGATGAGCAGTGCCTGGTTTTCTCCACACATACCGCTTAGAATTAAGGCCAAAAAGTTCTATCTTGGTCTCATCAGACCAGAGAATCTTATTTCTCACCATCTTGGAGTCCTTCAGGTGTTTTTTTAGCAAACTCCATGCGGGCTTTCATGTGTCTTGAACTGAGGAGAGGCTTCCGTCGGGCCACTCTGCCATAAAGCCCCGACTGGTGGAGGGCTGCAGTGATGGTTGACTTTCTACAACTTTCTCCCATCTCCCGACTGCATCTCTGGAGCTCAGCCACAGTGATCTTTGGGTTCTTCTTTACCTCTCTCACCAAGGCTCTTCTCCCCCGATAGCTCAGTTTGGCCAGACGGCCAGCTCTAGGAAGGGTTCTGGTCATCCCAAACGTCTTCCATTTAAGGATTATGGAGGCCACCGTGCTCTTAGGAACCTTAAGTGCAGCAGAAATTTTTCTGTAACCTTGGCCAGATCTGTGCCTTGCCACAATTCTGTCTCTGAGCTCTTCAGGCAGTTCCTTTGACCTCATGATTCTCATTTGCTCTGACATGCACTGTGAGCTGTAAGGTCTTATATAGACAGGTGTGTGGCTTTCCTAATCAAGTCCAATCAGTATAATCAAACACAGCTGGACTCAAATGAAGGTGTAGAACCATCTCAAGGATGATCAGAAGAAATGGACAGCACCTGAGTTAAATATATGAGAGTCACAGCAAAGGGTCTGAATACTTAAGACCATGTGATATTTCAGTTTTTCTTTTTTAATAAATCTGCAAAAATGTCAACAAATCTGTGTTTTTCTGTCAATATGGGGTGCTATGTGTACATTAATGAGGAAAAAAAATTAACAAATGATTTTAGCAAATGGCTGCAATATAACAAAGAGTGAAAAATTTAAGGGGGTCTGAATACTTTCCGTACCCACTGTAAATAACTTGCCCTAAGGGCAAGTTATTTGTTTTTCAATTTTTTATTTATTATTTATTTATTTTTGCCCTACGGGCAAGTTATTTATTTTTCATTGGCTCAAGTTAAAAAAATATAGATGTGAATCATTACCAAAAAAATTTTTTAATTGGATGAATGAAACATTTTTTTCAGTGTA